CATTCACATGTTGTGTTCGGTTACAAGTGTAACACATTAAGTCAAGACATAGCGAGCAATCAACCAAAATTGGCTTCGCAATCGACTTGTTGGCCACCCTCCTGATGTAAGTACCTAACCTAGTCGTTCAGCAACAATACCATATTTCCAAGGACCAGAAGTTGTGTAATTTCGGGATTGTACATGATCTCCCACATGATAAAATTTGTCGAATTTCGGTTGTTCGGTTATGTTCCTTTGGGAAGCTTGTGCCTGGGGTTTGAGCAGCTAATGTTATTGGTAGTTTAAAGTTGAACGGAATTAGTACCCTATTACTGATAATCTCAGATTTTGCACAAATGAAAGCTGCTTCCTCCTCTGCTGTCCAATGGAATTGAGTGTTTTTCTGTAAGCATTGATTCAATGGATATAAAATTTCTGATGCATTCTTGATGAATAAGATGAATGCAAAAAATAAGATCCATTCTGTAATAGTAATTAACAAGTCCTAGGAATTGGTGTAATTCTTCCACATTTCTTGGGCGAGGTGCATCCTGGATGGATTTTATTTTGTCTGAGACTTTTGGAGTCCTTCTGCATTAATTATATGTCCTAAATATTGTACTTTTCTTTCAAAGAATTTGCATTTACTGATGTTTACGTTTAAGTCATTAGCTATCAACTTGTCTAAGATATTCAGTAAATGGTCCATGCATCCTTTATAAGTTTTTCCTTGAATTATGATGTCATCAAAATAAGCTACCACTCCTTCAAAATTTTGGATGAATTAGTCAATAAACTTATGGAACTCGTTTGGTGCAGATTTAATTCCAAAAAATAATTGTTTCGTTTTGCTAGATAGGTTCCACAGTGTGTTGAGATTGTTTGTATTTTTGCACTGTCATCATCAACTGATAGATGAAGATAAGCTTTGTGGATATCTAACATGCAAAAAATAAGATCCATTCTGTAATTTATTGAAAATATCTTCAATGTGTGGAATTGGGTGGCATGAGTCATGCAACTGCTTGTTGACTGTAACCTTATAGTCAGCACAAATTTGTAATGTCCCATTGGATTTTGGAAAAAACAACTATGGGTGTTCCCCATTCTGAATAATCCACTTTTTCAATGATACTCCTACTTTCTAATTTATCTAATTCCTTATCCACTTCTTCCTTCCTGCATAGGGAACTGAGCATGGTTTCAAGAAAATTGGTTTTTTATAGGTGTTTCCCCTTTGTGTATTGGGACTTTTGTTGGGTTTTTCTTAATGTCACAGCACTCTTTGCAACTTTTAACCATATTCTTGAGATCAGAGTCAATATTACACCAGTAATAGTAATTTTGGGCTAGGGCCATCATTCAAATGATTCCTATGTGTGTAGAGTGTAGCTCTTGCAGGACTGTTGGCTGTAAACTTCTTGGGATGATTACGCAGTGTCCCTCTAAACAGAATGACGTTACATGTGGATATTTCTGGGTCGTACATATGGCCATTGGCAATGTCATTTTTGATCTGTGATAATTCCTTATCAATTGATGATTCTCTTCAAATTTCCTCATCAATGATAGTTCCAGTTGAGATATGTTTAACAACAGTGTCATGATAGGTATCATCGTGATCTTCTGTTAGCGCTTCTTTCCTTGTTAAGGGTATAGGATTCCATGACAGGTAATCGGCATTTGTATGTTCGATGGTATAGTCAAAGTTGGAAAGGAAGTGCACATATCTTAGCATTCTTGTAGCTGTCAAAACAGGTAGCTTCTTGTCAGGATGTAGTATCGTCATCATGGGTTTATTGTTGATTATAAGAGTAAATTTCCTTCCATAGATATAATCAAAAAATTTCTCTCATGCCCAGTACACAACAGTAGCCTCTTTATCCAGCTGGCTATAGTTTCATTTGGCAAATGTGAGGGTTCTGGAGGCAAAGGAACATGACAAAGGTCAAAGGTACGGGGTCTCCTAACTAGGTCAAGGGCAATTCAGTGTAGGTTATCCCATGGAGATTTACATAACAGTGACCTTTGCCCTAGGTCACAGCATATATGTGGTAAGTGGTGAAACTCTATTGTTAAATTTGTTTCTTGATGTTATCAGTGCCCTCTAGTAATAGTTGTGTAGATTTGCTTATTGCCAGGTTATATCATATGTTATACCGACAATAATTAGTTACGTTAAAAATCAATTTTTACACAAGAAGTTTGTTTTTTACCAGCAGGATGTTTTATCTCCATTTATTGTATGGTTTCAAACTATATGACAATGTCTTTAATTCCTGAAACCAATTAAATCCATATCCCAAAGAAGAAGAAAGATAAATGATTTTGATCATATAGCAATTACATTTGATTGTTGTGTATATATTTAGTTAAATTACAATTTATCATAATGTTATTGAAATTTAGATTGTGAAGATATAAGAAAATATTCATGAACATTTTCATACATATAATTAGACCAAACACATTTCTACAGTTAATTTAGTTGTTTATGTAAATTATGTACTTACACTGTTATAAACATGCAACATATTCTAAATAAATTTAGTTATAAATGCCAAAAGCTAAAGTACCGTACACCCCCTATAACGCGGGTTCCTATAATGCGGATTCCTATAACATGGCAAAAAAATTGCAACAGTATTCATATAAAGACACCAAAAGGAACGCGTAAAATGCGGTAAAACGTCATCGCCGACTCATGTCACGACAGGATTGGTCAAATCTGAATCAATAGTAGACGAGCAGCCGAACTACTTACATGCTACGGAGAGTTTAGACAGGTAAGTTGAGTTTACTATCGTCTGTACAGTATTATTATCGACTGTACAATATTAACTTTATTATAATTATATATATACTTTCCACCATCCAGCGCCACACTACGGAGAGTTTAGGCGAGTAAGTTGAGTTTACTATTGTCTGTACAGTATGTAAATTAGGTACCATAAGTCTAATACAGCACTGTAATTTTATATATTTCTTGTGAAAAAAACATTTCTTATTCAACGGCCATAAAAATTATTTCTATTAATGATGTCTCCAAAGTTCAACAAATTTTTCGCAGAAAAATAACTTATCAGAAATCGCGGCCATCGTTTGGTGCGCTGCTCTGCGACGAAAACAAGCTTAAGCAATGGTGATGTTGAATGGTGCACATTCGGTAAGTAATCCTACAGTTTTTTGTTTATAGCATTATTTATACGGATTATTCCCAAAAAATTATACGTGTTTTGGAAATATTGAGTCGAATTAGTCTAGAATCAATTAATTTTATTGAATCGATTAATATTGAGTCGAATTAGTCTAGAATCAATTAATTTAGCCAGCATGGAAGTACTTTGATCTAAATCAGTATTTCTCAATCTCTAATGAATTGTCGCCCCTTCAATAAAACCGTTACATAGTATTGTTACATAGTAATCTCGGCATTGAAATTTTGTAGTGAAGGGGGTGTTACGTAATATCGCCCCCTTCGCATTGCATTGAATAGACTAGTGACTAGTATAATGTTATTTGTTGAATTATTGTACAATATAACAAATAAAATATCTAATTATTCTTAATATAATGTTTTACTATATCGCCCAGAAAATTATTTTTTGTTCTTCAAAATATAAATTGTTACTAATCACCCCCTCAATGTGGAAAAATGCCTACATGGGGGCGATATCACCCCCGTTGAGAAACACTGCACTAGANATGTTTTACTATATCGCCCAGAAAATTGTTTTTCACCCCCAAAATATAAATTGTTATTAATCGCCCCTCAACATGAAAAAAACGCCCACATGGGGGCGATATCGCCCCCATTGAGAAACACTGATCTAAATGAATGAGTTAATATAGGTAGATCACAGTTCTGACAGAATTTTCACTTCAAATTTCAAGGTTGCTGTATTTTGAACTAACCAAATTTCTTAACATGTAAATCTCTATATCCTGGCCAGGACAAAAGTACAGTTATGAACTAATGGGATTTCAAACTATCTGAGTTCAAATTAACAAGGATTTCCTGTATCATTGCATTTTACAGTTTCTTTCATAGTATGATTATCCTAATATATGCAGTACCCAAAGGACAATCTGTTAGTGCCCGTTACTTTGCCCATTTCTAGGAACACAATCTACAAGCTCTATGGAAGAAGTAGCATTTTCTTCTAAACATGCCACCTATCATTTTGCATGCTAATGTTAACTGTCATGTGGCTGCAAATGTCAATGGTCTTTTCACTTGCTGAGGATAGAATGTGCTTTATCAACTGCTCTATTCATCCAACTTGAGTCCCTGTGATTTTAATTTGTTCCCAAAAATAAAGGAATTTCTCTTAGGTATGCAGTTCAAGATGATCAAAAACATTCTACGCACAATTGGCCACTCCATTTAAACTATCAACACATCATAGTCTCCTGATGGCATCACTCAACTTCCACATATGGCAACAAGTAATTGACAATGCTGGTAACTGTATTATTGACTTGTGAACTGCTTCTGTGTTTATTTTGTCTTGTGTATTTCAACTGGCTCACTATTAAAGTTCAAACCCTCATAGAAAATTTATAATTTTACTGCTTGAAATATTTATTGACAGATTATTTTAAATAAATAAATTTCAATTAACAAGTTGTAAAAATTGGCATTGTCATTTCCTTAATCTTAAGAATTAAGTAAACTTTAAAACTAAACTATTTCATTGCTGTCTTGTCAATGAGAATTTGTTTCAGTTCATTTGTAAAGTTTATTAATTCTTAAAATTAAATTTATGATATCACTATGTAATATTAATATAAAAACTATAAAAAATTAAAAAATTTGTTTTTTAATCTTAAAAGTTTTAACTTAAAACAAATAAATGAATTATAAAAGCTTAATACTATCCTATTTTTTAATTTATATAATTTTATAATCAGCAAGATAAAATTAAGTTTAAAAAACATTTAAGTTATTAATTTATATACTGATCCTGTTTTATTTAGAATTTTAAAGTCAATATTTTAAGATGTACTGTACTTACAATGTTTAATTTCATAGTTACTGTCTTCTGAATCTCTGTCTGTTTCCAAAAATAGTTTTCTATAATTCCTCTGAAATAATATTGAAATTTTCATATATACATTTTAAAAATTATTCTATGTAATATTTATAAAAGTTTTACACATTAAAAAAATGCATAAATATTTGCTGCATGTTTAATGTAATAATGTATAAATATATTGTTAAATATATCACTGTTGCAAGTTATGTGTTCACAGATAATGAGTAGGATACCTTACAAGTTTAAAAAATCATACACGACTACTTTGATCTGTTTCAAGTCATATCAAACCAAAAAGTGGCAGGCTTGATAAAAGACACCACGTCATGGCTGTTTATTTATTATAAAAAATAATACAATGGTTATATGACACGAAGCATTGCTACGCAATACAAATACAAAAGTTTATATAACACAAATCATTGTTACACACATAGGTAGTGACAGGAGAGAAATTTAACATATATAATTAAACATAATCAAATCTTGTTATAGCATCCTCCTAACACAACTCTCATGAAGTGCTAATGAATATTTGTAAAGAAATCTTTCCCATAAATATTAAATAAAGAACCCTTCAGTACATGTAATTACTAAATGCATGATTTTGCATTAGAAATGACATTGTTATCACCAAATCAAGTGACTTTCAAATTCAAACTCAGGCTTAGGCTTCATTACAAGAAGACAAGCAAAAAGTTAGTTTCCATTACATATGTCAAAATACTATGTACAAAATACTGCTTACTCCTCTGCATATGTGCCATGTACAGCAAACTGTAACATATTATGATAATGTACTTCATCATGAGATATTATCAACATATTATATTATTAGATATTTCATCACTCTTATATTTTTCAGAAATTACGGTGTGAAATTCAGAACACATGAGTAGATTTTTGTTCTGTCAGAAAATAAGCAAAAAAGATGAGAGATGAAAGTTTTCCTGAAGTGTTCTTGCCAAAAAGAATTATTCAGCCATGATACACAAATACTTGTTTCCAAATATAATAAATGTTTATATCATAGCAATTATGTAACGAAAGAGTAATGTGTTCAGGGGTTGCTCTGAAAAAAAAAAAAAAATTGCCAACCATTTTGTCAGTTTAAAATTTTTTTGCCACCAGTTTTACTTACTGATTAATGCAGATGCTGTAAGCCTTATCAGTTTGGCATCTTGAAAGCAAAAGTAACATGTTAAGCTTTCACTTACTGTTAATAGGAATCATTTTTGAATAATTTTTCATGAATAATTCTGAATAATACATTTGATTTCAATGTTCAAACAGTATTTTACAGGTTGTATCATGTCATTTCTAGTCTACTGAAAAAAAAATCAAACTCAAAGTGTAAAAAGTCACTCCAAATTTTTTGTCAGTCGTTAAAAATCACCAATTTAGAAATGCTAGGTGACATTGCACAAAACTGCTTTTGATTCTCAACATCACTTCCTACTTTTCTTCCTGAATTTGACACGTAACATTATGAAATAGATGTGTGGTGCATGGGAGCAAGACATTCTGCCGTTTTTTCTGAAGTGTGTGCTTTGTGATTCAATTTCACGCTGAAGGTTGAAATATGTGGACTAGGGTTTTTATTGCCACTTGCTATCACCAGTATTATATTTTTTTCACCACTTTAATAAAAATATCACCAAGTGGCAATTTTGGCACTGTACATCATGACTTCTGCATGTCTGTGCATTAATGTTCATAATCATCATGTTTCTATTGTTTAATTAAATGTTACAGATTTGGCACATTACGCCAGCAATCCAGGGATTTCCCCCTGCTGGGACCAAGCTACCCTAATACCCAGTGTCTTTGACTGGCAAAACATTAGAAGCTGTAGAGATCTACAGGGCAGACAGGAATGGAGCCTGCATCAACATGGATGCCATTCATGTACCAAACGCATGGAAATACTATCTAGACTCATAATATGTCATATAAGATACATCATAGCCTTTATTCAAACGTATTTGAAACTTTTAACATTAGAACGCAACAGCATTCTATTTTTAGAATGGTATTTCCATTCTATACAGTTCCTGACAAGGGCCAATGAAATAGTGGCCAAAAACATTAGAATATTGAATTTCTTTGCTGGAAATTTTTGCATTGAGGTGTAATTTCTTATCTACATGTACAGTTCCAGTTTTCTGGTACAGTTGGTGTTTATTGTAGTAATTATTTGAGATACAGTAAACTTGTTTATGTAATCACTTTGAAATTTACCTAAACTGACAATAATAACTAACTGATAACATTAAGCAGAATATGTAAATAAAATTATAACTAGTGCAAATTCTGACTCTAATATTAAAAAGATATGATAAAATGAGCAATGACTTATTGTGACATTGTCACAATGTTGGGCTGCAATTTTAAATCATATTTTTAATTAATTTCATTTAAAATATATGCTCTCCACCTCAAATCCGTACTGTAGTGTCATCCCCTGTACATTATACTTTTCTGTTAGCAATGGAGTCACGCTAACATCTATTAACTGCTTTCAGGGGAAGTTTTGAACTAAAATAATGTAACTTCCAGTTTGCATCACTAGTTCACATATAGTTAATCGGGTCCTCCTGCTTCTAAGGTTTCCATATCTGGTCTCATCTTTCATCTATCTAATTCTGTTATCAAGATTAAGGAAAGACAGACACAGATGGACAAACAGACCACAGTGGGAATTTATAGGTGTACAGTTTTTTTCAAATTGTAGCCCAATAATTTAAAATGTATAATGCAAAGATTTATTAATTATAATTATTGTTATTAATTGTGAGAATCCAGACTAAATTTCTAACAAATTTTAATTTCTTAATTTAATTAATATGTCTGAGACAAAATCAGCCAAAGGAAAAGTTGTTTGACTAGTTTGCTACACAAAAGCCCTGTGACAGTTATGACATGGACTGTTTATATTATTTGATTTAATAGATGTGATTTGATAGATTGTTTAATGATATGCATACAGATTATAGTACTTGATTATTGCCACATTTCTCATCATTCTTTTCACCTTGGTTTTTATTCCTATTTACATGAAAATGGAAATAAAAATAGGAATAAAATCCAAGGTAAACAGATTATAGTACTTTTTTAAAAGTATCTGCAAAGGAATTTTATACATAAATCAATAACTAATCATTTTTTATTAACATTTATAACTTGCATCCATATTTCTATTTTTTTTTTATCTTAATCATCATTTTTTTTATCAATATGCTGACGATCACGCCAAAATACTATATTGTAAAAAGAGAAGGCACTGAGGTCGGCGTTATGCGTGCGTTTTTTTAAATCGCTAGTACTTTCGACGAACTTATAGTCGTCGTCATCAGGCGAATTACCGAAAGAATTAAACGGAAATAGTCCGATTTGGAATAGAACGCTTAAATTTAAGATGAAACTTTAGTCAAAGTCGTTAGGAACACGATAGAAATATTCAAAAATGTTCGAAAAACGAACGAGCAGAAAGCTCCATGATGTGCGAATACGCGCATGCGCAGATCTAGACACACACTGTACGCATTCTGGAGAATGCTAATTTTTACTTAATTGCTTGTATAGTGTGACCCATACACTGGGCAGCTCGAGAGTTGGAATGTTGCACGTGTCCAAGGTGGTAGTAAGAAGAGACTCCCATATAAATACGATTTTTCGATCCTTACAGCTCTTGAGCATAACCGCTTGGGACCATAGCGGGTTGTAACCCTGCTCAAGTACTTTTCTTGCGAGCTCGGTGGTGTGTCTACCCCTCGCAACATCGTTTTGGTGCTCTTCTAGTCGGCTGGCAAGCATTCTAGTAGTGGCCCCGACATATCTTGCATTTACTCCCGTTGTAAGGTTTTCCAGAGGTACAGCATAGACCCCCGACTTCTCAAGCGTGGAAAATTTGTCCCTATCATTACAAATGAGTTTGCGTAGGTTTGGAAGTGGGGTTAGTGGTAGTATAAGGCCGTGCTGCTTAAAGATTCTGCAGATACGTATAGAGAGGGGTCCCAGGTATGGCAACGATGTTTGTACCATTGAAAATTCTCTTTTGCTGCATAATGTGGTACTTGGAAACAGTGATTTCTTTACCATATTGAGCACGTGCGTAAATTTTGCACGTGAAAAGCCAGCAGTGCGTACCCCCAAACTTATGTTGTCTAACTCCATGTTTACCAGCTCTTGCGAAGATGATAGTAAGTAAGCCCTTCTAACGAGAGAGGCAATGGCAGCATTGACATATCGAGAAGGCTGAAAAGCCTCTGCTGGTATAATATGTGGAGCTATGCTGGACTTGTGATGAACCGAGAATTGTAGTCCTTCCGAAGACTTAC